CATGGTACTCCAGCCATTTTGTGCTTCTGGCTTGGCCAATCTATCTCACGTGCCCATTTTAGGGACAGGACAGGTCTAGAGTTCCAAAAGGACTTCTGGCCGTCCAGCTGACAAGGTGGTCTCAAGAGTAGCAGTCTGTGATAAATGGAAACCTTCCTAATGCCTCCAGCTCCCAGCTCTCTGGAGTCCTCATCTTCCCCCATGGGAAGGTAGTAGTGGTGGTGGGGGCATGATGACCCAAGAAGCGGAGAGATAAACACAGCTCTAGGGTGCTGGGTAAAGTGACTGACACCCTGCTCCAAGGCTATAGCCCCCTCCCCAGGTGGCCCAGAATAAAGAGATGCTCAGGACTCACCCCATCTCTGAGTTGCTGCAGGGAAGCATATGCCTGCTCCCAGGCGTGGGCTCACACCCCATCCAGCTTGGGACTGTCCGGTGAGCATCTCTCTGGTCAGGCTATTTCAGCTCCCTCCTCCCTCCACCCTCCTTCTCCCAATGAGCTCATCTGTCTGGGGCTCCCTACCCCCCTTTCCCTGAGAGGATGTTTGGACAGAACCTGGCAGAAAACAGAAAGAGAGGAAGGGAGGGTGGGAGGAGGTGGCCACCTACCTGCCTGTGCCCAGAGCCCCTAGAAAGTGGAGATGGGTGAGAAGAAGCATTGGCTCTCCCAGGGAGGCAGGTTCAGAAAGAGTTTATCTTTACTCCAACTCGCTGATGGGAGGTGGGCTCCGTGCCGCGTTTCCTAGGCCACGTGCCTGCGGGATGGTTTGGTGCAGGCTGTCCTGTTAACCCCCTCAGCACCTGCCAAACTTCAGTGAATACTGAGATGATGGCTGGGCTGGGGGTAAGCAGGCACTCTGAGCTGGAGGGAGGGGTCGATGAGTAGGGAGGAGCAGAGGACAGACCTCGGTGCACTCGGGGGAGGCTCCCAAAAAGTTTGTCCAGGTAGCGTCCACCCAACCCTGACCCAAGTGAGAGGAGGATTTGTGGGCATTTAACTTTAAGTTAGTGCAGGCAGACGCTCCTGCCTGCAGTTCCACCGTCCGGAGACCGGGGCCCTGTTTACCGCGGGTGCGGGGAAGAAGAGCTCAGGGAAGATGACAAGCAGATGCAGCTCTTGGTCCAGAGAGGAGTTGGAGGTGGGGGTGTATGTGTGTGTGTATGGGGGTGCTCCCTGCAGAGCCCAGTGTCCTCTGGCTCCAAGAGCCGAGTCAGCGCCGCACCGAGCTGCCTCTGTTACCTGCAATGCCCCACAGGAGCGCGAGGGTTTATGGGGGAGAGGGAGGGAGAGGGAGGCAGACAGGCAAGGGCAATAGGGGAGCCAGAGGGGGAGGAGGCTCCCTGCCAGGCTCTTGTTACTTAGGAGGAACTCCTCTCAAAATAGCTCCGGAGACCTCAGGAGCTCTCCATTTCCCTTCCTCCCCTGCACGGGGTCTTGGCGGCTTTCTGAGAACTGACAGGGGAGGGAGCCTTTCATGTGCCGTCCTGGTCATCTGTAGAAGGCGATCCGCTTCACCATGCTGACTCCTCTTTAGACTGGCCCCTCCTGGAAGACTGGGACCCTTTCTCCTTCCTAGCTCCAATCCAGCTCCCTAGGAGAGAAAGGGAGGAGGCGACCGACAGAGTTGCCTGTCCCCAGAAGCGTGTTGGACTAACTGTTTCAAAGAACCCTACATGAATCCCCAAGGAAATAATCTACTTCCCCTTAAATGTAGGTCCTGTCTCCTCCAGCTGAGAGTGGACAGTCTCTGACAGCTTCTTGGCACAGGGCCCAATCCATCTCTGCATCCCTGAAAACTTGCTCTTCAAGGTATTTCTGGGCCAGGCCACCCAAGAGCTGTCGGTGCATTATTCCATCACCAGGAATCAGGCACAGTTGGGGCCTGTGTCCCAAGACACCATGCCTGCCCTCCCCCAAGGGACTTCAAGGAGAAGGGAGGGACAGAAGCTGAGCTGTTATGTCTGTTTCTTCCTGTCCCCTCCCCCACCTCCAGGGACTGGGGGCTCATGAGCTGGATGAAGAGGAACTAAATTAGGAAGGCCCCCTCAAAAAGATCGTGTATAAAAGGTAAGAGAGAAGGGACTCCCCCTTTTGTCACCCTCTCCCCTGGCAGCCCCCGGAGGAGACTGAGCTAGATCAATAGACTCGGTTTTTGAGAATTTTTGAGGAAAGTGCTCTATAAATGTAAAATTCCTCTAGCCGCTGTTAAACTAATGCATTTCCCAAGCACTTTTTCTGCCCAGATGCGGAGCCCTCCTAGCGTTCTTTGGAGGAAAGCTGGGGGTGTGGGGTGTGGAAATCAAATAATGGGGGAGGTTCTATTGCTGGCTTTGCAGTAACTTTCTAGCTGACCTTGGGCCCACATGCCACCTCTCTGAGCCTCTTTCTTCTTCTGTGAGGCTTGGGGGTTTCCTAAGAACCCTTCCAACTCTAAGCACCCATGAACAGTGAGGCAGCAGGGAAGGTGGGGAGAGCCCATAGTGGGGGAGGAGAGCTGGCCACCTTTTCCTGTCACCGGGATCTAAGATCTAAAGATATCCCTGGGGCTCCGTCCCTCCCTCCTCCTTCCCTGGGCAGGGGTCATTTTTCTTCCTCTTGGCACACCTCCTCTCTCACCTCAGGAAGCTGACCTGAGAAACATGACCCCCGCTATAAAAATAAAGTGGGCAGTGTGGATGCCCAGCCCTGTTAATCTAGTGCAGGGACCTCCTGGGGGAAGAACTGGGTAAGCCAGCAAACCTGGAGACAAGGAGAGAGGCATAGCCTTTTGGGCCACAGACTAAGGTCAAACGTACTGAATGTTTACTCTAGCACTCGGCTAAGCACTTTTACATGCAACAAAATCTCATTCCATCTTTGCAGTTAGGTCCACTTCTGATGCTGCAAGCCTTGGGGCAAGGGTACAAATGGAGATTGCATATATGTCTGAGTATACGTTATATATCAGGATAACAAGGTGTTAAGATTGATGTTTTTTTTTTTTGAGTTGGAGTCTCACTCTGTCGCACAGACTGGAGTGCAGTGGCCGCTCCCGGCCACCCCAGCCCCGACCCGCCGGGCCCCGGCGATCC